ATGGGATTACATTATGTATCATATATGTACAGTATCTCACGGAAGTGAGTACACCCCTCACATTTTTGTAAATATTTTATTGTATCTTTTCTTGTGACAACACTGAAGAAATGACACTTTGCTACAATGTAAAGTAGTGAGTGTACAGCTTGTATAACAGTGTAAATTTGCTGTCCCCTCAAAATAACTCAACACACAGCCATTAATGTCTAAACCACTGGCAACAAAAGTGTGTACACCCCTAAGTGAAAATGCCAAATTAGGCCCAGTTAGCCTTTTTCCCTCCCTGGTGTCATGTGACTCGTTAGTGTTACAAGGCCTCAGGTGTGAATGGGGAGCAGGTGTGTTAAATTTGGTGTTATCACTCTCACTCTCTCATACTAGTCACTGGAAGTTCAACATGGTACAGTTGCAAGAAAAAGTATGTGAACCCCTTGGGATTACGTAGAGATTTTGCATGAATTGGGCATAAAATGTGCTCTGAACGTCATCTAAGTCACAACAATAGAAGAACACAGTCTGCTGAACATAATACTACACAAACATTAGATGTTGCCATGGTTTAATTGCACATAACATGTAAACATATACAGTGCAGGGAGGAAAAAGTATGTGAGGCCCTAGCTTAATGACTTCTCCCAGAGCTAATTGGAGCCAGGAGTGAGCCAACCTTGACTCCAATCAGTGTGATGATATTGGATGTGTTGCTGACAGCTGTCCTGCCCTTAAAAACACACACACCTGTTTTGGGTTTACTGGTTTCAAGAAGCACTGTCTGATGTGAACCATGCCTCGCAGAAAAGAGCTCTCAGAAGACCTACGATCAAGAATTGTTGACTTGCATGAAGCTGGAAAGGGTTACAAAAGTATCTCCAAAAGCCTTGATGTTCATGTGTCCATGGTAAGACAGACTGTCTACAAATGGAGAACGTTTAGCACTGTTGCTACTCTCCCTAGGCGTGGTCGTCCTGTAAAAATGACTGCAAGAGCACAGCGCAGAATGCTGCATGAGGTAAAGAAGAATCCCAGAGTGTCAGCTAAAGACCTACAGAAATCTCTGGCACATGCTAACATTTTTGTTGACACATCTACAATAAGGAAAACATTAAACAAGAATGGAGTACATGGGAGGACACCACGGAGGAAGCCATTGCTGTCCAAAAAGAATATTGCAGCACGTTTGAAGTTTGCAAAAGAGCCCCTGGATGTTCCACAGCACTACTGGCAAAATATACTGTGGACAGATGAAACCAAGATTGAGTTGTTTGGGAAGAACACACAACACTATGTGTGGAGAAAAAAAGGCACAGCACACCAACATCAAAACCTCATCCCCACTGTGAAACATGGCGGAGGGAGCATCATGGTTTGGGGCTGCTTTGCTGCCTCAGGGCCTGGACGGATTGTTGTCATTGATGGGAAAATGAATTCCAGAGTTTATCAAGACATTTTGCGGAAAAACGTACGACCATATATCCGCCAACTGAAGCTCCGCAGAGGATGGGTGATGCAACAGGACAATGACCCAAAGCATACAAGTCATTCAACAAAACAATGGCTGCAACAGCACAGAATACGCCTTCTGGAGTGGCCCAGTCAGAGTCCTGACCTCAACCCGATTGAAATGCTGTGGTATGACCTTAAGAGAGCGATTCACACCAGACATCCCAAGAATATTGCTACACTGAAACAGTTTTGTGAAGAGGAGTGGTCCAAAATTACTCCAGATCATTGTGCAGGTCTGATCTGCAACTACAGGAAACGTTTGGTTGAGGTTATTGCTGCCAAAGGAGGGTCAACCAGTTATTAAGTCCAAAGGTTCACATACTTTTTCCTCCCTGCACTGTGAATGTTTACATGTTATGTGCAATTAAACCATGGCAACATCTAATGTTTGTGTAGTATTATGTTCAGCAGACTGTGTTCTTCTACTGTTGTGACTTAGATGACGTTCAGAGGACATTTTATGCCCAATTCATGCAAAACTCCACGTAATCCCAAGGGGTTCACATACTTTTTCTTGCAACTGTACCTCATGGCAAAGAACTCTCTGAGGATCTGAAAAAAAGAATTCTTGCTCTACATAAAGATGGCCTAGGCTATAAGAAGATTGCCAAGACCCTGAAACTGAGCTGCAGCACGGTGGCCAAGATCATACAGCGGTTTAACAGGACAGGTTCCACTCAGAACAGGCCTTGCCACGGTCGATTTTGGGAAATAGACATATGAGTTCTGCCAGCATTGCTGCAGAGGTTGAAGAGGTGGGGGGCAGCCTGTCAGTGCTCAGACCATAAGCCGCACACATGATCAAATTGGTCTGCATGGCTGTCGTCCCAAAAGGAAGCTTCTTCTAAAGATGATGCACAAGAAAGCCTGCAAACAGTTTGCTGAAGACAAGCAGACTAAGGACATAGATTACTGGAACCATCTCCTGTGGTCTGATGAGACCAAGATAAACTTATTTGGTTCAGATAGTGTCAAGCATGTGTGGTGGCAACCAGGTGAGTAGTACAAAGACAAGTGTGTCTTGCCTACTGTCAAGCATGGTGGTGGGAGTGTGTCATGGTCTGGGGCTGCATGAGTGCTGCCAGCACTGGGGAGCTACAGTTCATTGAAGGAACCATGAATGTCAACATGTACTGTGACATACTGAAGCAGAGCATGATCCCCTCCCTTCAGAGACTTAGCCGCAGGGAAGTATTCCAACATGATAACAATCCCAAACATACCTCCAAGACGACCACTGCCTTGTTAAAGAAGCTGAGGGTAAAGGTGTCTCCATGTCTCCAGACCTAAACCCTATTGTGCATCTGTGAGGCATCCTCAAACGGAAGGTGGAGGAGCACAAGGTCTCTAACATCCACCAGCTTTGTGACGTCGTCATGGAGGAGTGAAAGAGGACTCCAGTGGCAACCTGTGAAACTCTGGTGAACTCCATGCCCAAGAGGGTTAAGGCAGTGCTGGAAAATAATGGTGGCCACACAAAATATATTCCATTTTGGGATCAATTTGGAAATTTTCACTTAGGGGTGTACTCACTTTTGTTGCCAGTGGTTTAGACATTAATGGCTTGTGTGTTGAGTTATTTTGAGGGGACAGCAAATTGACACTGTTATACAAGCTGTACACTCACTATACATTGTAGGAAAGTGTAATTTCTTCAGTGTTGTCACATGGAAAGATATAATAAAATATTTACAAAAATGTGAGGGGTGTACTCACTTTTGTGAGATACTGTATGTGCTGTGTATTAATATAGGATTATAAATACATGGGATTATATCATGTATCAGACATGCTGCATATTAGTGTATGAATATAAATACGTGGGATTATACCAGGTATCATATACAGTATGTGTTGTGTATTAGTGCATGATTGTAAATACATGGGATCATATAATTTATCATATACGTGTATTTATCATATAGTTATTCATCATATAGTTGTGCTCCAAAGTTTGCATACCTTGGCAGAAATCATGAAATTTTGGCATTGATATTGAAGATATGAATGACCATGCCAAAAAAAACTGTCTTTCAGTGCCACCTGTCAGTGACATATATGAGTGCTGCCTGTCAATGCCTGTCAGTGCCTCCTCATCAGTGCCGCCTATCAGTGCAGTGATTATATGAAGCCATTTATTATCACATATTTGGCTCCTTTTAAAATCATAATGATAACAGAAATCAGCCTGTAAGGAAATATGTCTAATTAACTGGCATCCATTTTGTATAGTGCCTCAAATTCTAGACGTGTGAACAGTTAGTTTCGGTTTTGTAACTTCTCTCTCGTTTTCTTAGACTAGTTTTATTTCTGTAAACCGAACTACTTTATATGGTGCCCCTCAACTATTTGCAGTTTCTGTTCTTCACGTAGCTATAGTGATAAGAATGGAATGTTTCATTGGTCATCCTGAGAATAAGCAACACCTACTGAGTTCTGTATAACCGTTCTTGTCATGCATTAAACTTTCAGAGATTTAGCTTGCACACTTTGGTGTCTGGAGCTTAATTTCTCTCAGGCCTTAGGGTGAAAATAATGAGGACAGGGGCTACAGACATAGGTTGAATCCTTGCAAAACCAAATAGCCCTGATCAAAATTTTCCATACCCTGGAATTTTAGACCTTGGAACAGACATAAAAGGTGACATACACAAGTTAAAATGGCAATTAAAGGTTAATTTCCCATGTGGCTTTTTAAATTGCATTTAGTGTCTGTATATAATCGGTTTGTTAGTTTTCACGTGGATGTACTGAGCAGGCTAGATACTGAGCTATGGGGAGCAGAAAAGAACAGTCAAAAGACCTGCGTAACAAGGTAATGGAACTTTATAAAGACAGAAAAGGATATAAAAATATCCAAAGCCTTGAATATGCCAATCCGTACTGCAAGAAGTGGAAAATTTGTGGATCTCTTGATACCAAGCCAAGGTCAGGTAGACCAAAAAAGATTGCAAGCCACAACATTGTTTGGGATACAAAGAAAAACCCACTAGTAACTTCAAGAGAAATACAGGCTGCTCTGGAAAAAGACGGTGTGGTTATTTCAAGGTGCACAATATGACGATGAACAAAAATGAGCTGCATGGTAGAGTTGCCAGAAAGAAGCCTTTTGCTGCGCCAATGCCACAAAAAAGCCTGGCTACAGTATGCCTGACAACACCCTTGACATGCCTCACTGGTCTTTTTTGTGGAATTGGTACAGTAAGGGCTTGGGGTTTTTAAGGCTATGCCAAATGCCAAATCATTGGGTTCAGGTGTTCCAATCACCTCCATGGCCACAGTTGTATAAACTCAAGCACATGCAGACTGCTTCTACAAACATTTGTGAAAGAATAGGTGACTCTCAGGAGCTCTGTGAATTCAAGTGTGGTACCGTGATAAGTTGCCACCTGTGCAATAAGTCCATCCGTGAAATACCACAGTCAACTGATAGTGGTATTATAACAAAGTGGAAGCAACTGGGAGAGAACAGCAACTCAGCCACGAAGTGGCAGGCCACATAAAATGTCAGAACGGGGTCAGTGCATGCTGAAGTGCAGAGTGCAGAGAAGTCACCAACTGTCTGCAAAGTCAATAGCTAAAGACCTCCAAACTTCGTGTGGCAGTCAGATTAGCACAACAGTGCATAGAGAGCTTCATGATATGGGTTTCCATGGCCGAGCAGCTGCATCCAAGCCTTACATCACTAAGTGCAATGCAAAGCATGCCACCACTGGACTCTAGAGCAGTGGAGACATATCCTCTGGAGTCACGCTTCTCATTTTAATCCTGAGGGATCTTTCCCATGGACTTCTGTAAAATGTTTAGAAACACTATGTTACCGGGGCAATTAAATTCCTCCTTACACCCAAGTGTAATAGACTCCCCTTCTAATAATGTATGTAAAGGATTTTTAGATTTTATTGGTTTCTACTCATGTAGGAAATGCCTAGTGTGTACAACATCTAAAGTTAAGCAAAAAAGAATTTGTGACTTTAAAGCAACAGCCATAGGTTCCTCCTATAAATTGAACAACTTCACCATGTGTACCACTAAAGGGGTGGTGTATATGATGGAGTGCCCTTGTTCTCTTCAGTATGTTGGGTGTACCTCTAGAACTTTACACGTGAGGATTAGGGAACATAATAATATTAAGAAAGGTAAGAAGGAGCACAGTGTTTCTAAACATTTTAAAGAAGTCCATGAGAAAGACCCCACAGGATTAAAATTCTGGGGGTGGAAAAAGTCAATAAACATTGTAGAGGAGGTAATTTTATATGGTTTTTGAGTAAGAGGGAATCCTTTCGGATTTTCAAAACCAAGGTTCTGTCACCTAGGGGTCTTAATATTGATTTTGATTTAAAATTATTTTATTAGTAATAGTTGAGTGTTTTAGTCGGTATATATTCTTGTATGCATGTGCATTTTGATGTATTTAAGTTGGGTATTGTAATGATACAGCCTGGGTATATGCATATTATTCATCATTTATGTTTTTCTGTATCAGGGTTTTGGGGAGGTAGCCTGGGTAGATGTGGGGTCATTGTGTAGGTGTCTGGTCAAATGTGTGGAGGATGGGAGAGAGTGTTTTCTGCCAGAGTTTGGTGGCAATCTCTTGTCACCCTCACCTAAGATGGCCGCTGGTGTACTTCCGGTGGTATGTGTGCAGTCCATGGGCATAGAAGGGCCAGTATTGACACTTCTGCCCAGGGATGATGATGCACTGCCGGTGCCAGTGTTTGGTGGGAATTTCCTATTACCCTCAATTAAGATAGCCACCACTGTATGTCCGGTGGTGCGTGTGCAGTCCATGGGTGGAGAAGAGGCCAGTATTGGCACTTCCGCCCAAAGATGATGACTCACTTCCTGTGTCTCCATGACCAATTGGACACAAGCTGGGGGAATGGCTATAAAAAGGCTGTGTTAGAACGGCTCTCCACCTACTTAGGAAGCCCTGAGAGGGGACGAAACGCATCTACGAAGGAGGAGCAGGTACTGTGTTACCACGCCATCACTATCTTGCTAGAGGAGCAGTGAGCTGGATGTGGATACACAATTTATGCTTTTTATGCTTTTATATCTGTAGGTGTTATTTTAGTGGGGATACAATAAAATGTTATACAGAGAGCATTATGTTTCGGTCTTTCTGTTGCATGAGATCAATTTTGGCCTGATGTCAGAGTGAGTGGAAGGCAAGAGGAGATAAGAAGATATGTCACTGCGACTGAGGAGTTGAGTACACCCAGATGAGTGCATATTTTCTCTTTTTGAGGTGAGCAGGTTTTTCGCCTGGTGTGGTGGAGTATCACTGAATATTACTAAAGAAGAAATTCACAGAAGTGATACACGTCACTGAGGGGATTGTTTATGGACTCTTTAGTTTATCACTTGTGTGTTTTTCACAGGAGTACTTATGTTTTCTAACAATTATTAATTCAGAGAGTTGCGCTGCACTAGTAATTTGTGAATAAATTAAGATAGGAGGTGGAATCCACTGTTTTTTTGTGTTCAGCCAGCAACAAAGAGGTATTTAATAGTATTTTGGATTTGGGTGGGGAGTGTGATTGCGCTGATTAATCACAGTTGGTTACAACTCCAATATGTGTTATATGCTGGAATGTAGGAATGTAAAAGTCCTTTGAGCTATGATATGTATCACATGTATGCATGCATGCTGAGCATTATAAATTGCCATTAAAATGTATGAATGTAAAGTTCTTTGAACTATAATATATATCACATGTGCACATGCAATTGGCATATTATATTAGAATGTATGAATGTAAAGTTTACTAAACACTAATATGTATCACTGTAAAAATTCAGCGTTTGACGTATAAATCAATATAGTCTAAAGAGTAAACTTCCAAAATGGAATATTTACAACCCATCATAACAGAGGATGGAACTCTGAAAGAAATATTCCAGCAACCCCCAATACTGGCCCCCCCAACCTCAGAAATAAACTAATCAGTAGGAAACTTCCTTCTGATTATGATGTCACAAATAATGGAAGCAAAACCTGCAATAAGAAATGCTGCAAGCTGTGCAACCAAATCAATCCATCAAAAAGTGTCAGACACTCAAAAGGGATCTTTAATATCTCCGGATCATACAGCTGCACCTCCAGTAATGTTGTGTACGTTATCCAGTGCAGAAAATGCAGCAAAGGATCTTATGTTGGCGAAACAGGACAGAAGTTGCAAACAAGGATGAATTTGCACAGACATACCATCAAGGAACATAAAGAGGATGACCTCTGCACACCTGTAGGACACCATTTCACACAACCAGGCCACACAATGGGAGACCTCTATGTTTTAGTTCTGAAAGGAAAATTCAAATCCATTCAGGAAAGAAAAACTTTTGAACTAAGAATGATAATTCTATTTGACACAAGAGATAACGGCCTTAATTTGGACATGGGATTCCTCACTCATTATCCAGCAGTTTTATGACTATTAGCTAGCTTGACTCCCTCTGTGTGAGTGTAGTATCCCCCCCTTCCCCCCCCTCCTTTTGCTGTATCTTATCTGTAGCCTTTTTTTTTTTTTCATCCCTTCTAACATTCTGCTTAAACTTTGTGATTTGTAATAGTACTGCTTGGACTTTGAAGAAGGGTACATACCCCGAAAGCTTGTCCTCAAAATTGTATGTTCGTGCAAATAAAAAAAAGTATCACGGACAGTACTCAATTGTTTCTGTCAAAATGGATGTGAAACTTTAACATCTGTCACTGAAGAGTATAACACTTCAATGCTATGTAAACCCTAGAAATAACTTCCATTTTCTTTCTTTTGGTCTGTTGAAAATATCAATAAGGTCCCACTTACGCTGTTGTGCTTTAACACACACGTTACAGTGTAGGTATGTCCAATTTTCCTCTAGCAAGTAAAGTTTCTGTTCTGTACTCTGTTTTACTGCATTGTGAGGCCCATGGAAGTAATTGGCAATGCATCAAAATCCATATACACCCTGTTCCAAATTATTATGCAAATTCTATTTAAGTGTCACAAATATTAAATATTTTGTTTTTCAGTTTAACTCATGGATTGCATTGTGTCTCAGGGCTCTTTTGATCACTGAAAACACCTGTGATAATTAGATTGGCAGGTGAGCCCAATTTAAGGAAAACCTACTAAAGGAGGGTATTCCACATAATTAAGCAGAGCACCATTTTCAAGCAATATGGGGAAGAAAAAGGATCTCTCTGCTGCAGAAAAGAGTGAAATAGTTCAATGCCTTGGACGAGGTATGAAAACATTAGATATTTCACAAAAACTTAAGCGTGATCATCGCACTAATAAGAGATTTGTGGCTGATTCAGAGCACAGACGGGTTTGTGCAGATAAAGGCACATTGAGGAAGATTTATGCCAGATCCATGCATCAGATGAAGAGAGCAGCTGCTAAAATACCATTACATAGCAGCAAACAGATATTTGAAGCTGCTGGTGCCTCTGTAGTCCCATGGACATCAAGTTGTAGAGTCCTCCAGAGCAGGGGCGGACTGACCATTTGGGAACTCGGGCACTGCCCGAGGGCCCTGGGTCAGTAGGGGGCCCCATGAGATGCCCATGGTACCTTTTTCATAAGCTTTTTTTGGGTGTGGGTGAGGACACAGGGGCCCCATGATCCCCTATTGCCCGGGGGCCCCATGAGTTGTCAGTCCGCCCCTGCTCCAGAGTCTTGCAACTGTGCATAAACCTTCTATTCGGCCACCAATAACCAATGCTCACATGCAGAAACGGCTGCATTGGGCAGAAAAATACATGAAGACTAATTTTCAAACAGTCCTGTTCACTGATGAGTGCCGTGCAACCCTGGATGGTCCAGATGGATGGAGTAGTGGATGGTTGGTGGACTGCCAGCCTGTTCCAACAAGGCTGCGACGTCAGCAAGGCGGTGGTGGAGTCATGTTTTGGGTCAGAATCATGGGAACAGAGCTGGTCGGCCCCTTTAGGGTCCCCGAAGGTGTAAAGATGACCTCTGCAAAGTATGTGGAGTTTATGACTGACCACTTTCTTCCCTGGTACAGAAGGAAGAACTATGCTTTACGTAATAAAATAATTTTCATGCATGACAATGCACCATCTCATGCTGCAAAGAATACCTCTGCATCAATGGCTGCTATGGGGATAAAAGGAGAGAAAGTCATGGTGTGGCCTCCATCCTCCCCTGACCTCGATCCTATTGAGAACCTTTGGAGCATCCTGAAGCAAAAGATCTATGAGGGTGGGAGGCAGTTTACATCCAAACAGCAGCTCTGGGAGGCTATTCTGACATCTTGCAAACAAATTCAAGCACAAACTGTCCAAAAACTCACAAGTTCAATGGATGCAAGACTTGTGAAGCTGCTATCAAATAAGGGGTCCTATGTTAAAATGTAACGTGACCTGTTAAAATGTTTAAAAAGTTAAAATGTTGTTAAAAGTTTGATTGAAATAGCTTTTGATTTCAGTAAATATGCTGCAAACACAACAAATGACAATTTTCAGTTCTTGACAAGCTATAAAGTGTTTTGAAATTTACTGTGCGTAATAATAATTTGGAACAGTGCATTGTAAGTTTTTTATGTTTAAAAAAAATACTGTTATCATTAGGAGGTGTGTATAATAAAATTTGAAGTGTACTCTTAATAGTTGATAACATGAGAATTATGCTGACTGTTAATTACATCAA